AGCCGTCCTCCAGCAGACTAATGTGTCCCTGAAGTTTTGTTAAAGCTGGTTATTTACTCCTGCAAAGCAATTGCTCTAGCCTAGGGGCAGCAGAACGGAGAACGCACTGCTATGAAAAATCTGGCGTCTCTTGCTATGAAGTACTGTCAACTATCAAGGGGGCGTTCCTGCTGAAACATTGGGGGTACTGCTTTTTTTGGCATAAGAGAAGACGTTAGAACAGCAAGCCTCCACAAACAGAAATATTCAGGTAGTGTTGGATGGAAAGACCAAAATATGACGGGAGGGGTAATGACAAAAATCTTAGTACTCATCAGCCACAACAATTACAGATCAATACTATGAAATCATATGTCCACATGATGTCAATAATATTCGCTTATTTGGTTCAAAGGGTAGTTTAAAGGGTCAGTTCACCCAAATTATGAAAAAACTGTTTCTCACTTACCTCTATCATGGAGATTGGTTTTATTTGCAGAGGTTTTGAGGCATCAGTCTCTGAGACTTCTGCTCGACCCCAATAAAAATGAGGTGAGTGGAATTTCTTTTGAGGAGCTCACAGCATTAAAAACATTTAACAGCAACATCTCTTCCCAGAATAACAATGTCCCTGTTAGTCTGTAAAATCCCCAGAACACGCATCAACAGTTTTTGCAGCGACGATTTCTCTGGTGGAAACTAGTTCCAATGAAAACCGTCTGCAGATTCTAGCCCTGATCCACAGTCATCATACGCATCAAGCTCCTACATCACCGTCTCCTAGAAGAGACATTTCAGTCACAGATGGGCTCATTAAATTCTTTATGGGAAGAAAAGTTTAAAACTCACCTGGTGGTGAGGCAGGCAAATGAAATTTTTTAAAAAAGTTATCAATTAACAACATTCATTACAGTCAATACAACACATAAAATCAAAGATGGCGTAGGATTTCTTTTTCACTTACCTACAGGAGTGCTGTCAGCAGCAGGGTGCTCAGTGCTGCCACTGGTGGCCAGAAGCTATATTGCAGCAGTATTACTACATAAAATGCTATACAATTCCTTTTTATACCGTCCATCTTTGATTTTACATGGTTTGCATTGATAGAATTGGAGGAGACCTTTCCTGACACGAGTAAATCCTTTTTTTTTGTTGCTTTGGGCCCACCGAATGTTTTTTCCCATGTTATAGGTCACTAAAGAAGATTGCCTATTTTTAACGGTCTTCCTGTAACAGATTTTATGAGTCGATCAGGGACTGAAATGTCTGATTTCTGGGAGAGCGTAATGCAGAATAGTGATAGGTAGCGTCATAGTGTCAAAACCTGGGAAAATAAAATCAAAAGGTAAACGCATGGCAAGACACCACTGAAGGAAAGTTTTTTTTTGTAGCATGCGTGAACCAATGCTTTAAAAGCACAGCTTTCAGTATGTTTCAAGTATACAATCACCAATACAGGCAGCAACTTCATCACAACCAGCCTTATCAAACAGCAGCACATACAGCAGTCTGCAAACAGGAGCACAAGCAAGGCAAAATGATTGGATAGGTATGGAAATCTACTTGAAGGAAGGTCAAAGTGATTAAGCTGACATTAATGACAGGCCTAGTCTTCCTGTGAGAATGCTCACCGTAGCTGTCTCTAAACCCATTTGTCATTCTGCTTCTAACGCTGAAGCATCTGCTTTGAAGTCTCTACCACTAATGCTACACAGAGAGGTTAAACAGCTTAATGCTGAAGTCTGTTTCACTCCTCTCGCTCTCTAATGTTCCCTGCGTTTTATGTACCGGGGTTATGGCTCCTGGATTTCACATCTCAATTTGCCCCAGATAGTCCTGTAAAAGCTCCCCTCTTTCTTATTTGCTTTGTTGTCACTGTCAAAGGAAAAGAGGGGCAACCCGAAGGATACGGTACTGTGACAGACATGCCCCACCCATCGATTCACAGAAGTGGTAATAACGAAGGAATGTTAAGAAATGTTTATATGGGAGCCATGCGCGACTCAAGACTGGTGCTGATTATGATGATGGGGCAGCTTGTACATTTAAACACAGCACTTAATCTGCTGAGGATGTGAAAGAGCTGACAACAAAAGACAAGTCCTGAAAATGAGATAATGAGCACATATAGCACCACCGTAGAGGTCAGCGTTAAAGCCTTTTATATCTACAACAGCATATGAATAAAATGATACAGTCATTATGATAAATAATACAAGATCGGAGGCGCTCTGGACTGACTTACTCTCCACTACAATGAGATTATGTTGATGCATTTGACATTAACAATATCAGCAAACAAATATATGAAAGCATGAATGAAAGGGAGACAGAGACCGATTTTCACAGCCAATTTGAGATTGCAGGGTTGGTGTGTGCATGTGTGTGCATGTGTGTGTGTGTGTGTGTGTGTGTGTGTGTGTGTGTGTGTGTGGGGGAGCTACTGGCAAACAGCACACAGAGCAGGCTGGCAGCGGAGGCAGCCAGGCTCACAGGCTGCAAAGCAATTTCACTGTTTGGCAATACTGTTGTCTCTGTGTGCGGATTAGAGCTGACACCAGAGCAACTGAGTCATGCTAAATGTAGTACAATCACAAGCTTTTGTTCCTGATCTAAAACCCCACTGCCTCTTAGATTCATGGAAGAGAGAGTGGAAACAAGGATAGAAAATGGCAACAAATAAGCGGAGCATTATTTCGCCGTATGAGCACAGCATTGCGACATCGCTAAAAACAACAGTGGGATAAAAGTATCATAGTAAAGGCATGGAGCCCAAGTTTTCCAAAGTAAAATCAAATAAAAGTCTTCTTGGTCTGCTGTGAAATACCCTTGCAAATCCTTTTTTTCTGAGTGCTTAATGGCAATTTAAGGTGTGATATATTGTTGATAAATACAACATTTCAGCTGATAGGAATAAACAAAACCACGACTGTAATCTTACTGCATTTCCACCTGGTCTGACCACACACTCTCATCACCTGGCTCTGCAAAGTCTTTCTACAGGCCCAATGCTCTCTCTCCAGGTACCGTATTGGCCCAGAGTTGTTTTTGGGCCTGGCAGGACCTGGCAGGACAGACCCTGACCCGTCCTTTTCATGCTCGCCCACGGAAATGCCATCTGGCTGGTGTGAATGATTACCACAGCAACGGCCGGGTGACCTGCAGCCAGCAGGAACCAAGGTCACTCCACCTCAGCGCTTCGCACTTTCCCTGCCCTCTTTTCATCAGCCTGCAGGTGAATTATTCATCCTGTACAACTCGAAGGCACAAATCTACTGCACAAACACTAAAAAACTGCACACTCAGTTCACTGATATAATAACTTGTAATGAGAAAATAAATGCTCCAGCGTGAACTGCTACAACAAATAGCTCGTAGATGTCATCGGATAGAGCAAGAATACTATTCCTGTATGGGCTTGGATGGTCAAACAGCTGTAATGACTTTACACTGCCAGAAATTGGCTCCAACCATGGCAGAATGAGAAATAAGTGAATTAATTGATTTCTGACACATGTAGCAGAGGATGGCACATTTAAGCTACAGGCATGTGTGCAACCAGAAGGCGTGTAAGAATATTTACCAGAGCTGCTCACAATAAGATAATGTGATCAAATCTATGCTATAGCCTGTGAAATATTAAAAGGTTCCAGCGTTAAAGCAACAGAATTTCAGTAGAGGATGAAAAAAAGAATCATGTCAAATGATCATCACCCAACTTTATATGATTAACGAGCTGGTTGAAAAGCATCAAGAAAGGGCACTTCTCTAGAGCAGACACAGAAGACAAGTCAAGGTTGCTATAATTCAAGACAATTTACATCTACATGTGTATTCTACCTTATTTAATATGTCTATAATGTGACTATTTCTGCATTTCTTCTTTTTTTTTTTCCTACAAAAACCTGTTTGGACAATAATCCAGGTGATTAACAGGGTTCTGCTTATGGTTGACAATATAACCTGGACTACATCCAAATATAATCCGAAAAGCCTAAAACCAGGGATGCTGCAGAGGTAAACACCTAAATTCAATTAATCCACCTTCCACCTCTTGGTGGAATTATTTATCCACCTTTATAGACTGACAATAACCCTTCTGCGGTATAGGCACTACTATCTCATAGCAAGTGATTCATTTTACATAAGGTCATTCAAGGGAACACAAGCATGAATTAACACTTTTCTGCAGGTATCATGATTTTTTCTTAATATTAGTGGCCGTATGCCTTGTGATGATCAGTGACTGGAGGCTAACCTTTTTATTATATAGCACTACATCACCGCTCATGACACCAGGTAATGGCTTGGGCATCCTTAAGGGGCAGTTCAGATTTAGCTCCTAGGCTACTCGGTCACATTTAATGAAAAACCTTGAATGTATACATCTATCATAAATGTTGCACGGTCCTCCGGAGCCGGGGTGAATCAGGATGAGAGCCCGCACAGAGGACACCACATGAAGCCGCAACAACAATAGCTCCCTCGCCCCTCTGGATCCCAGCCTGGATGAGAGAGAGGTCCAGCGGCCGGGAGCTGGAATAACACTCGACCAACACAAGACAACCGAGAGCCACCAGATCTGATTTCTCCTCCTCGGTAGGCTTTTCCGAGGGACCCGGGCTGCCATGCTCCTGTCATTTCTCATGTTACAGAACATCAGTCAAACGGCAGAGACGTTGCCCTTGCGCCGGCCGAGGCTGATTTACAAACATTAGCGGGGAATACAATTACACAGCCCCCCCGGCCGAGCAGCCCTATGCGGCTTCAGGAGAGAGCAGAGGAGAGGAGAGGAGGAGGAGGGGGGGGGGGGGTGGACACTGAAAACAGCGTTTAGCTTTCCCAACCTTATTTCAACGTTTGCTTTCAGGAATACAAGCGAATAGGCTGTCAGCATTGTGGTTTATAAATCCAACTTTCAGCTCAGTGGGTTCGGCTATAGGCTCACGGAGCTGACATGCTATTTAATGGCATTATATATGTAGTACATGTTACGGCTGTGATACGAACAAACTGCTCACCTGACACAATCTCCACGGTAATAACTAGAAACATTTAGGCGACATTAGCAGTCCAGCGCTTCGGCGTTAAAACACTTAAAAGCTCGTCTTTCTCAACAACAAACTGGTCGCATGTTCACTACCAGAGACGACTCACGTTTCTAAATGTACAGTCGACACCAATGGAAAATATTGTTTCCATTAAATGTTCGGGCAGAATGTCCAATGTCCACCAAATAAACTTTCCTAATCACAAATAAAACTTCGCAACATGCAAATTCGCCAGTGTAGGAACATGTAAAATGACAAAGAATTGCACTATTAGCCTACTGAAAGATGCAGCAGCAACGCTACGGCCGTCGACACAAACCGCATAAAACATTAAGCTGGCCGAAAAAGTTACAGCCTACGTCCAAGAACAGAGATTCAGGGGCGCATTAAAAGTTTCCGTACATGTAAGTACGGCGGTGCTTGTCGCTGACAATAACGAGTAAAAAAAGCAGAAAAGCTAATGCATGTAAACATCAGTGCTGTCCGCGGTGCTGATCCCAGATCGGCGTGGCTAACACAGAGGCTGTGCTGCTCCACGGTCGCTCCACCGCTGATCAATGATTGAACTGAACAAAGGCAGAAGAGGGATCAATTTCTAATAACTATCAATGCGAACGCCGCTAGCTTTCGTCTTACATTCACCCGAAACAAGATAACACACAGCAGAGTACAGTAACGAGACATACCGGCGGAAAAATAAGAAGAGAAAGGTGAGAATAGCACTAACCTGAAGCCGCCGTAGATCAAATTTCTTCCAATATTGAAACATCGATCCTACATCGGCGGCCATCTTGGGGGATATTGAGGAGATTTTTTTCAGCGGCTGCAATAAATATGTGGGCTGGATTCCCCCTCGTTAAACAACGTTTACGATCACCGGTCCCACTTTTAAAAAAACACAACGAGCAGACTTAACACGAGACTCCTCCGATATGTTTGACAAGTCCGCCAACATGTTTTTTTTTTTTTTTTTTGGAAGTAAAGAAGGAAGAAAAAAGTAGACGATATTTTTTTGGGCGAACTGCCCGAGTCTTTGAAAAGTAAAGAGCAAGTGTATCCCTGCCTCCGTCCCCAACATTAACTGGACAATTGCACTTGATTTTGCTTTGGCAAAGTTATCAATACTGACGTAAAGCCCCGGGTTGATCAATACCGTCTGGAAAAGGGAAGGAGATGATGTGTAGATTAGTGGAGTTCAGGGAATTTAGCCAAGCCTACTTTTAACCGTGTTTATTACAGGAGCACACGGGACAGTAAGGTTAGAGGCAGTGTTGGAAATTAAAACAGGATACATTATCGACATATTACTATTATTAGAATCTCACTCAGTCCACGTGTCATTTCCTTATTCTGATAAATAGACAAAATATCCGTATTTTAGACTCTAAAGTCCATTTTTGAAAGGGAATTTAACATGAATACTCTAAATGAACCGCACAGTTACAGTAATGTGCTACAAAGTTCATTCTTTCATTAATGTCTTTATTAGTGTTATGCATACATTTTAATTACAAACACGGAACATTATTGTAGTCTATATATTTGATATATAAACCCATTTACTATAGCTATTCTTTATTGCTTGTACAAATAGCACAAATTTAAGCCCCCACCTCATTATATTTAACATTTAATATGTTGTGATTATTGTTTTTTCCTTTATTTGTATGTTTTTGTGGATCCATTTGTAGGTTGGTCAGTGCCTGTGTGACTGTGCTGACCAGCCCAACTGTGCATTCATATTAATAGAAAAGAATAAGAATATTCACATTTGAATGCGTGCAACATAAGGACATAAAAATGCTTTTAGTTTGGAACAAAAAACATAATCTTCATGAATTTGCCACATTTTTTGCCACAGTTAATGAGAGCCTCATTCTAAGAAGATATAAGCCGTCACATGTTTTACTTTACCTAACTTAATAAAGCATGAGGTTGCTCTTTGCCTACCTAAAATAACTCATTCCTCTGGTCAGGTAGCACACACAGACTGCTGTGCTGCTACAGAGCTGGTGCCAGGAGCTCCCCCTGCTGACACCACCAGGGTAGAGGCAAGGTTATGTGCAGATGAGCTTTGTGTGATTTCCTCCATTAATTATACCATTATCATCGAGTGAAGGTATCCATCAAAACCAATGGCTGAATCCACGTTCCACCCCATGATCACCGTGCGCCAACCTCACGGTGTACAGTAGCTTCCAGCTGATATCCCTTATGAAAATCAGTCCAGGTAGAAAATAATATCCTCATGGGTCGTATTTTTAGCACCTCGGGGGACAAAGACATATCCTTCTGCCATAGACAAACACCTAAGGGGAAAGTGAAGCAAGATTATTAAAAGTTTTGCTTATTGCATTTTATTTGTGGCTCTATGGTGAGGCTAAAACACACGGTTGAAATATAATAAGGAAGATAGGGGTGTATCACAAAACCAGAATTCACAGCTGAGCTACGGAAAACAGATTTTAATATTTGCAACTCATTATGGTATGGACAAAGGTGATTAGGAATAAATCAGTCCCAGGGTTGGTGATGTTGAAATCTTATGATTTCCCGACTTAATTTTGAAACACTCATCACCAAAAATGAAGCATTTATGCTAATTAACATCTGAGTAGAGGGTCTGATCAGTATACAGCACATTTTGTAATGTGACAACTCTCACAGACACTTCAACAGAGAGGAGAGAGAGCTGGGTCAGCGAGGAAGAGTGACAGTGGAACAGGCTGAAGCCTCTTCATAGAGACTGTTTCCTCAGTTGAATCTTTGACCTTACATACCATAAACAAACACTCTCTTTGCCTGCAGATCTTGCAATGTGTTTGTAATCACAGACATTTTCAGGTGCCAGGTAGGAACACCGTGTTCTGGCTCAACAGGAATGTAGAGCACCCAGGCTCTGTGGGGACCTAGGTGGGACCTAAACCCACAATCTCCACTTCCAGAGGCTGGCGCTTTGTCTGCCGGCCCTCTGAATCCACACGCATGGACTCAATCAGTTCTGTGCTTCAGAATATAATCCTGACCTCACATTCAGCGCTGTCGTGAACAAAGCGCCATGGGCCTCTCACAGTAACCTCGTCACCCCACTCAAATTAATACATTATTCTGGAAAAAAAAACTTAATCTAAAAAGTAATGCATGGTTACTTAAAATGAGGACTCTGCGCACAAAAGGAGAATTATCCAAGAGCAAGGAAACCATTGTTTCGATGAGGTCACTGAATGAGGGACTTCAAATTACTGAGATTCTTTCAAAATGCCGGCAGTATATTAAATTATATGTCATATTATTGATGCGAGATAGCAGCTTCTTTGAGCTTGTCTGGGGATTTTAGGGTGGTAAAAACACCACCTAAAGCACAGTTCTACAAACAAATGCCATGTCCAATGCCTTTGCTCAATTTCTACAGCAAATTTCTACCACAACTACAAGAATCCTTGTGCCTTGTCGTCCTGGAGGGTATGTAGTGCTCTGTGAGACCCACGTACAATAGTCATCAGTGAGGAGGATCACTAGGAGCCTGGCACCCTGACTTCGATTGGCTTGGTGTGTTTTAATCCTTTTATTTTGACTGTGTGTTAATGTTTTTATCCTTTTTTTGTTGCAATAATTGCCCTGGTTCATTTTTCAGCCTTTATTTAACTGAGTGATTAAAACCAAATAAAATGGTGGTTTGCAGAGAGGTAAAAGGTCTCTGCTTTGTCTGAGCAGTTAGCAAGCGCAAGGTTGAGTCTTTAAACCATAATTATACGGATGCATTCCAGTAGTCATTTCCTTAACCTGGTAAAAGTATTATTTACAATGAGCTGCACTGCTCCAGAAGGGCCCACCCACTTGTTTACGTTCTCATGCGTCCGCACATTGCCTGTATTAAAAAGAATATTTTGCTGGGTGGTTGATTAGTGGACCATATTAAGGTTTTTTAAAATAGTCATTAGAAAATGTGATAATGTCTTGCAATTTTTATGAATAGAAATGACATTAACATAATTCAATGCCTCATTAGGTACATGATGCCGTTCAATTCCCAAGTGGTTTTATTGAAATTAAAAGTACAATACAGTAATAATATACTCACAACTGAGTATTTGGTTAAAATCAGACGGGACAACAAATGTAGAAACAGCAGTGAGTTGTTTCAGTGTTGCTGAGAATGAGTTGAGATCAGATTTCTGTGGCAGTGCTGTGGGTTGCTAGCACTACCCACTGGACAAGGAAGGTAAATGAATGGTCAGAGAAATAAAGCAGTTGCAGTGTGGGTTTGTGACCAAACATGAGCCTTTGTCTTTATTTCTAATACCACACTGTGAAAATAATCCACTGCAATTAAAAATCCAGCATTCAAGACTTTACTGAAAGTCCCCCTCCACTCAAGAATCTGTTTTTCTTCTTGTTCCTACAGTTGGACTCCAGCTGTACCAGGTGAGCTATGTGGGCACGCCGATTATGGAGCTTTTATTGAGGTAGACAGAGTAGATGCCTTTTTAAGGATTTTAAGGGGGAAATTATACCTTTATATATTACATACTGTTGGGTTTAATCTACAGCAATTCATCAGATTCTATAACACAATCATATGTTTGTAGTGTCACTGTCCAGGGAGAACCACGTAACTTTTCTTGAGCTCAGATAAACAGCCCTATTTCCAGCTTTGTGAAGTTAACAGAAAGTAGTCTTGTCCCAGTGTTTTAATGAAGCACCTGTTTAGTTTTTCATTGTTTTAATAAAAATGCTCAAAATAGCATGCTTCTGGTACCTTTATTTAAGTCACTTATTTTTATTAAGCTCTTTGAAGAAATTGTGTCTTATTGTGAGGTTTTGCTAATTATTAATCTTAGATTAAGGTACAAATTCTTAAATTCTGCTCAATAAAGTGACCAAAATACTTATTTTGAGAAAGTCTGTCTTAAATAACTGAGTTTTCAGTGCTTGTAATAAGCACAGCTATCTTACAGTTTTAAGGTCCATTGCAGTCTTTCAGTGGATAGATTTTCATGCAAGTTTTAAGAATTCTAGCCAAGTAAAATTGGCTTACCCCATTGACAAATTTTGATTATATTTAAGAATCTTTGGTTTGTTTCTAGAAGGGGTGTTTTTGCAGTGCAGGTATGAAAAACCTGTAATCTGAAAGAGATTACAGATAAATGTAGTGGAGTAACAAGTACAGTATTTGCCTTTGAGCAGAAATATAAAGTTGCATGAAATGGAAATGCAAGTAAAGTACCTTGAGTTTTTACTTAAGTACAGTACATGGGTAAATTATCTTAAACTGGGTATAGCCTGTAGGCCTTTGTCGCAGCAGACATTTTGACTTGTCAAAGCAGAGGTGGAACTAATAACATTACCAATGTAGGTGTTCCAGTAAGTCATGCCTGTGAGCCATTATCATTACCACCATCCTGTAACTGGAACATCTAATTGCAGTGAAGCCTTAATTATGGTTATTAATTACACCTGGGCTTTTCATGCTATTACTTGCCAAAATATCAATCAGTAAGGGGCTTTTCAGTCACACAAATGTAAATTAACAATTTAATTTTTAGTAATCTTCAGAAACAATATGTATTCAAGTAAACAGCTTTTAAAAACACTGAATTCAAAAGATGACCACAAATACTCCAAATTTCTAACTACTAGTTTTCATCTGTAGTGCTGTGAACACGCAATATATATATATATATATATATAT